CAAAGACAAATGGGTGAAGTTGCGCAAAATCTCTAGATTGATCAGAGTTAGACATTAACACCGTTGGATGCTAGCCCAGTGGTCCGACGGTTAGGCGTTCGAGCACAATACCGAAGGTCCTGGGTTCGAATCCTGCGAGGTGCAGGAGTCGTGGGTGCGCACTGTTGATGAATCCCATACCAGGACGAAACGGCCGTATAGTGCTTCTTCCAGGTTTCTAATGTTGGTGGTCTAACAATAACTGATTGATGATTTCAAATGTGTAGAAATATATAACTCGACACAATTCACGAAAATATATTCAATTTTAGGAAAAAAAATAATTTCTGATTCAACATTTTGATTGAAGTATTAAACTATTAGATTAAAAATAAAATATCATTGACATTATTGATTGTGATATACCATTTCGGCTAGCTAGCTAGCTAGAGATGGATGAACATTTCTCTGCTGAGGAGTCCCATATCAGGAAGAAACGGCCGTATTTCAGTTCTTCCAGGTTTCTAATGGTGGTCTAACATTGATCGATTCATGGTTTCGAAAATGTCTAACTTAACAATCTTCACAACCCCGTAATGTAAATTACCTGTGCTCACTCGTGACTAGCTTCGTGAGGAATCTTCTCCGAGTTCTAGTGGGAAGACGTGACCAGTGAAGTTCAATCTGTTCGGGTGTAGAATTTAACTACCGAAGACTGTGTATGAGGTTGTGCAACTCCGTGAATTGATCAAGTTACATATTAACACCGTTAGATACCGCCAGCTCAGTGGTCCGATGGTTAGGCGTTCGTCTACAATACCGAAGGTCCTGGGTTCGAATCCGGCGGGGTGCGGGAGTCGTGGATGCGCACTGTCACAGATGAGTACCATACCAGGACGAAACGGCCGTCCAGTGCTTCTTCCAGGTTTCTAATGGTGGTCTAATATTGATCGATTCATGGTTTCAAAAATGTCTAACTTAACTATCTTCACGACCCCGTAATGTATATCACCAGATAAACATGAACACATTTGAGATATTATGAAGAAAAACAGAAATTTTTTTTTGAAAAAAACAATCTTTTCGAGTAGATTGGTTCACCACCACCTAATTTACTCACTTTGTATCGAGGTCATGGTAAAATGAAACAAAAAAAACCTTCACAGCATGTGATTTATTAATCGGATTACATTAGACTAGGGGTTATATATGTTTGACCTAATTATTACTTACACACATAAAATTTGTGAATAGAGAGACTCAAAATGATTCTTCTACTAAGAGGATATATTATTGAATATAAAAGTTTCAATTAGCAATTAACAAACGCATCGACCGTGACTCAATTTATCAACCGATCAGAATAATCATAGGCAAATATAGGGAATCAAGAAACAGATCATAAAGGGGATATAATCAAAACAAAGGCGTTCAGGCACAATACCGAAGGTCCCGGGCTCGAATCCTGCGAGGTGCAGGAGTCGTGGATGCGCACTGTTGATGAATCCCATACAAGGACGAAACGGCCGTCCAGTGCTTCCAGGTTTCTAATGGTAGTCTAACAATGATTGATTGATGATTTCAAATGTGTAAAAACACAAAACCTCCAAAACTCTGCCCGAAAGGTGCAAACAATGACAGATTTAATGTCAACAACAACCAATCAAAATCGAGGTTAACAGACCAAGCTACGGGTGAAACGTTGCGAAATTCGAATACTTCACTGCTTCTATAAGGGAAGTTTGTGCTCAGAAGAAGAACAATGAAAGCTCCCCTATCAAAACATCCAGCTCAGAGAACGAAACACAACAACGACAATCATCCGCCTGAACTACAAATTTTCTCCAATAACACAAAAGTTCTAAGATAACTAACTACCTGGGATTATTATGATTTAAAAGCCATGCAAGAAATTGTATAGATAGAAAACATGATGATATAAAGTCTACACAATAAGAGAGAGAGAGAAATAACAATCAGTAATTATCACCATTCTTATAATAAGTCGTACACCACCTTACAACTGATCACAACTGTGTAGGTTGAATGAAATAATTTAAAAATTTACTTGATCATACAATCAAATAAACATTTCTAATTAGAATTCTCTTTGATTCAACTACATTTTAGCAACTACTCAAGAGGGCAGCAATCAATGTCAGCTGAACAAGAGCAGAGAAAGTTACCGCACAAGCTGCATACATAGGAGCAAACAGGGAAGTGAAGAAGAACATCTGAGCTGACAAACGAAAATATGTGGAAGATCTAGCAACGATGACGGAATAGGCTTAAAGAGAAGGTAACTTGAGGCAATTGTACAAAACAACAAAGAAGCTCGCCGGAAACTATCGTAAACCAGAACGACCAGTGAAAAGTAAGGAAGGCAAAGTAATCAGCAACACTGAAGAACAGCGAAATAGGTGGGTAGAGCACTTTAAGGAACTATTGAATCGACCAGCTCCACCACTGAACACACCCAACATCGAAGCAGCATCTACGGATCTCCCAATTAATATTGGCGCACCTAAAATAGAAGAGATCAGTATGGCCATCAGAAAAATCAAGAGCGGCAAAGCAGCAGGACCAGACAACATTCCAGCAGAAGCAATGAAAGCAGATGTAGAAGCAACTGCGAAAATATTTCACAACCTCTTCAAGAAGATTTGGGATGAGGAACACACGCAACAACAAATGCAAGAAAAGACGACCAGTGTAGCAGCAGCCTCTGCAGCAGTAGGTCTCAACATACATAAAGTAACGAGAGAAATTCTTCGATGCAACACAACATATATATATATATGCTGCTATTGTTTCACTGTGCATTTATCTCATCTTGAAGTAAGTAAGAATTAGAGACGAGTAAAAATATGCCATGATACAGTTGAATCTGAGATAATATTTTAACTGAGTCAAAATAACCTACCATAGATGACTTTTTTTTTAAATGTACATCATAAAATATAAATGGGCTTTACTATTCTAAGTAAAGTTTCGAACAAAAAGTAAATTAAGGTGGCAATCTATTTCAATGATACTTTCACATAGGGTATATTTTAAGAGGAATGATAACTTAAACTAGGAATGCCGGCGTATTATGTGCTAGAATTTAATTCTGATATGATAATGGAGAAAATTTGAAGTACTCAGGTGGGGGTTGGTTGTGGTGTAGTGAACCAGAACACAGGTGGGGGCAACCGAATTGTATTTAACGAAAATTACAGAGTTACTCAGTAGTAAAATAGGAAGACCATATCGTAAATTGTTCATTTGCAAAATATCAGTTCATCATCATATCGAACTGGACTGTTCCTGTTGCAAAACATCAATCCATTGTCACTCACTATTCATGCGTTTCATACAAATTCCATTGTGTTGTATCTAACTCTTCCTTTCTTGATCTTCCCCCCCATCTTCTGCTGCCAGACATTATGTTGACATTCACGTCATATACTACTTATAAGTAGCTCGCACCACAGTGGTAGTGTTTCGTTCTCTGAACTGGATGGTTTTTGATTGTAGAGCTTTCATTATTCTTGTACTAAACAACATCACCATACTTTACTTTCTGTCTGAAGTTACGGCTGATGATGGTGTTCAGGAGAAGAACAATGAAAGCTCCACAACCAAAAACCATTCAGCTTAGAGAACGAAACACTATCACACAGAATTTGATTCTCTACGGACGTAATGTCTTAGAGAAGATCTAATCTTTTCCCTTTATCAGTATGCTAGAATCTCTTTACAATTAGAGCATTTTTGTAACTTTATACTCAAAAAGTGGAAATTTACTCTTTTTTCATATCAATTACTGACAGTACAAATAAATTTTTTGCAAGAATTCAGAATAATAATATTGTATGTGTAAAATAACCATTTAAATTTCTATCACGAACAATCTCCTTGTGGTGTGAGCTACTTATAAGTAGTATGTGACATGAGTGTCAACGTAATGTCTGGCAGCAGAAGATCAAGGGGAAGATCAAGAAAGGAAGAGTTAGAAGAACACAATGGAATTTGTATGAAACGCATGAATAGTGACAATGGATTGATGTTTTGCAACAGGAACAGTCCAGTTCGATATGATGATGAACTGATATTTTGCAAATGAACAATTTACGATATGGTTTTCCGATTTTACTGAGTAACTCTGTAATTTCCGTTAAATACAATTCGGTTGCCCTCACCTGTGTTCTCGTTCACTACATCCTGATTAACTTGAATAATTAATTTATTTAAAATGTTAAGTTGCGAACAGCTTATCAATAATCAATTAATCAATCAACAGAAACATAGAACTTCGTGCCTACGTACGTTCATCAGTTCAAGTTGCCATACTACATTAGCAATTGTCCATTAAAATCACATAGTGATAGAGATAGGAGAAGTATTAGAAGTAATCAGAGAGATTAGGGTTCGACGATATTATACAAGAAGTAGAATCTAGTGAAAGAAACTTAGAAAGAGAAAGTGATGAGGAATTCAGAAGATTAGTATTTCAGAGAGAACACAAATCATGAATACACCTGCGTCATTGCAAACGGTTTTGAGCCGTGTCATTTAGAGTCTCTAACCATCGATGACTATCATCTCGCGGACCCCAACCAGGTAGCCTACATCTACCAACATGACTCAGCCCAATTGTCAGTGACTTCATGCATTTCTGCCATGTTTTGGTCTGGCCGCAACCAGCTTTCTTCCAACCTATCCCTACACATCACAAAACATAGTTCGACAAGGCAATCGGTGGTTAGCCATACGCAACACATCTCCTAACCACCTCAACTGATGAAGAGCTTCAATACTTCATTTATTGACCTACAATCCTTTATCTAGTACTCGTTTCCTCACAACAACATTGCTTACTCAATTGTCCCATGATACACGAAATTCAAAAATAAAAAAAAATCATATGAAATTCAAGCAGCTAAAATTAATAAATAAATAAAAAATCGATCAAGATGAGAACAATGAACATAAATTCAAATTTAATCACACACAACAAGGTGTTTTTTTTTATTTACCCGATCACGCATTTTTTCACGAACAAATAATCGTAGCACATTGAATGGTGCTCGAAACCAAAATGGTGGTTCAATAATAATCACTTTACGTAGACGAGCTGGATAGACACCCTGTGAAAGAGTAAGATAATAATAATAATAATAATAATAATGTAAGGCATTATACATACTTGCACAGACACACACACGAAAAGAAAAGTGTATATCAGAGAAAGAGAAGTTCAAATTGACTGTTTCACACCAGATCAGTCAGTCAGTTGCAACGTAGAACTTAGTACGTATGTCCATAAGTTCATGTTGCCATACCACATCAGCACACAGATATAATTGTCAATTCAAATCCAATAGTAGAAGAGGTAGTAAAGGTATTAGAAGTATTCGGAGAGGTTAGGATTAGAAGATATTATTCAAGAAGTATGATTCAGTGAGAAAAGTTTAGAAAGTCGAAACTAGAGGGGTTGAAGAATCCAGAATATTAGGATTTGAGAGAACACAAAGAATAAATGCACCGACGCCATTGCGAACGATTTTGAGCCATGTAATTCAAGGTTTCTAACCATCGATTATTATCATCTCGCGGACCCTAACCAGGTAGTCGACAATTACCTACATGGCTCAGTCCGCTAGTCAATGGCTTCATGGATTGCTGCCACGTTTTTGTCTGGCCGCCCCTAACTTTCTTCCAACCTATTCCTACACTACAAAACAAAGCTCGTCGAGGCAGTCGGTGGTTAGGCATACGTAACACATGTCCCAACCACCTCAACTGATGAAGTTTCACCACTTCATCTATTGATCTGCCATCCTTACCTAGCACCCGTGTCCTAATAACAGCGTCGCTCACTCGGGTGTCCCAGGATACACGAGCAACACTTCGAAGACACCTATGATCGAGAACCAATAGCCGACGAATATCCTCTATTCTTACTGGCCATGTTTCGCACCCATATATTAGGAATGAGCAAACTGATGCGCAGTAGACTCGTCCTTTGGTTGGCAGACGGATATCTCGTCTACGCCATAAATCACACAAGTTAGCAAAAGCCAGCCGAGCCTTCTGTATCTGAGTCGACATTTTGCCAGACACCAGGCCATCAGCATTGATGTGACAGCCCCAAAATGAGTGAAGAAGTCACTATGCCCAACTGCTTCACTCCCTATCATTAGCTTAGCTGACGACGCAAGCCAATCCTGAAGTAACATTCTGTATTTCGATGGGGAGAATCGCATCCCGAACATGCTTGCTCTGTTGCTTAGGGTGGTCATAAGACTACACATTTTGTCAGCATTTTCGTCATATTTAAATATGTCATCGGCATATTCTAAGCTAATCTCCCGGTGAAAATTGAATTCCTGAAAAGTCAGATAATGAAAGTGTCGTATCTAAAAGAAGCATGTCAATAACAAATTTAAACAAGAAAGGCGAAGGCGGACAACCCTGAAGAACACCATTTGAAGTAATCAATTCCAATCACAGTTCGCCGTAAGCTCTGACTTGATGATTGGGATTGGTACTAAATTTTGAATTGTTAGAAAACAAGGAACTATTTGATATTTTGGGGCAGAGATTTGGAGGTTTGCGTTTTTACACAATGATTGATTGATGATTTCAAATGTGTAAAAACGCAAACCTCCAAAACTATGCCCCAAAATATCGTAACAGTGCTCACTAGTGACTAGCTTCGTGAGGAAATTCTCGGAGTTCTAGTTGAGAAGACGTGAATAATGGAGTTCAACCATGTCGGGTGTAGGCAGTAACTACCGAAGACAAATGGGTGAGGTCGTGCAAAATCCCTAGATCAATCAGAGTTAGACATTAACACCGTTGGATGCCGGCTCAGTGGTCCGATGGTAAGGCGTTCGCCTACAATGACAAAGGTGGCGGGTTCGAATCCTGCGAGGTGCAGGAGTCGTGGATGCGTACTGCTGATGAGTCCCATACCGGGATGAAACGGCCGTCCAGTGCTTCCAGGATTCTAATGTTGGTCTAACAATGATTGATTGATGATTTCAAATGTGTAAAAACTATTTGATAGTTGTTTGGAAAAGACACTTATGCGACTTCATGACATGATATTGAATCTAGAGAATTAACAACAATAATCTATATAACTATTCCTTCTAAAAGAAAATAATGTGAAGACACCTATTTGTTCAAGAGAGAGAGCGAGAGTGTGTGTGTGTATATTTGTGGTAATCTATCTCTATAACTTTGCAGTTCACATCGAATCAAACAACTAATGTTGAATCAAAACACTTACTGACGTTTTATTTTGGCGATTTAGTTTACTACGTGTTGGGCTCGCCAACCCATAGGCCCAACCCTCCTTCTTTATCCGGGCTAATGTTGTATAACAAACTGAACTGATGTATGTACGTACGTACGTACCACCAACTGACTGACTGACTCACTGAATTATAACACAACTTTACAGATTTTACACTTGTTATAACTCACAAATACAAGCAAACAATTAGTGTGATATAAAGTTCATACTTCCTAAATTAATTAATGAGTTTGATCTAATAAACTACCTCCTATAATCCTCTTTAAGCTTTTTTGTCTAAGTTATACTGAATGAATTTTTTTACAAAAAAAAAAATCACAATGTGTGCATGTGCG